CACATGTAAAAATTGATTTTAAATCATAGTGATGTCATCTTATGTTTCGTCCTGTTTTTTAGTTTATTTTTTATTTTTACCTTTTTATTGCTATGAGTAAACATATGGGCGTCATACAATGGAACTGTCGCGGTTTTCTTCGTAATATTGATGATGTGAACATGTTTCTTGATGAGCTCAGTCCCGTGGCACTCTGTTTACAGGAAACTCATCTCAATGACAATCATACACAGATCTTACGTCGTCACCAAGTTTTTAGGAAGGATCGCCTTTCCCCCACTCCTTCCTGTGGTGTTGCAGTAGTAGTGCAGAATGGAGTGGTGTGTGCTCAAGTACCTCTTCAAACACCACTTGAGGCAGTGGCAGTTTGTGTCCCCTTTGATCGCCTCATCACCATTGTATCGCTCTACCTTCCACCTAACAGTCCATTGCATCTCCATGAACTCCAAGGCCTCGTAGATCAGCTGCCCAAACCTTTTTTAATCTTAGGTGATTTTAATTCCCACCATCCTTTGTGAGGAAGCTCTCGTCAAGATTCCCGCGGTGGAGTTATTGAACGGCTCCTATCGCTATCTGGACTGTGTCTTTTGAATAAGAGAGAACCAACCTTTTTTAGCTCTGTTCATAACACATTCTCATCAATAGATCTTTCCATATCATCACCATCTTTACTTCCATGTTTTTCGTGGAAGGTTTTAAATAATCCTTTTGGAAGCGATCACTTCCCCATAATTTTAGAAACAGTTATACCTCTTCCTTCGCTTTCGACCCGCCTTCCAAGGTGAAAGTTTGAGAAGGCCGACTGGGCTCTGTTTGGTTCAGAAGCTGTGTTTGACCCCTCTTTATTTACTAGTATGTCTGCAGAGGAGGCGACAACTTATGTCACTGAGTGTTTAATTAATGCTGCTGCATCGTCTATCCCACAAACCTCTGGTAAGCTCCCCAGGAGATGCAAACTCTGGTGGAACGATGAGTGTACAGCCACTCGAAAGAAACAAAATAGGGCTTGGGGAATCTTCCGCCGATATCCGACACCTCTTAACTTGATAGAATTTAAAAGAAAGCAGAGCCAAGGCTCGATGGACGAGAAAACAAGCCAAAAAGACATCGTGGGTTAAATATATTTCAGCCCTAAATAGCTTTGTACCGTTAAAAGAAGTGTGGTACCGCCTGCAGAAGGTCCGAGGAGATTACCAATCCTTTCGAACTCCTCTCTTTTCCTCCTCCTTTGTATCACTCAAAGATCAAGCAAACATCCTTGGTGAACATTTTCAGCTTATCAGTAGTTGCTCAAATTTCAGCGCAAAGTTTAAGAAATTCCAGTCTATTGCTGAAAAGCAGTCAATTTCCATGTTAGGGTCTGCCACTGTTTCATACAACAAACCATTCACTATGGGTGAACTCAAAGTAGCACTTGCTACAAAAAAGCAGGCTGCACCAGGCCCAGATAAAATTCATTATGAAATGCTTAGACACCTGTCCCCTGAATCACTTTGCCATTTGCTGACGTTTTTTAATCACCTATGGAAACAAGCTGCATTCCCTCAGTGCTGGGAATGTGCTCATGTTATAGCTCTCTTGAAACATGAAAAAGATCCCTCTGTCCCCACAAGCTACCGCCCCATCGCACTCACTAGTTGCCTGGGGAAGACATATGAAAGGCTCATTAATCAGCGTCTTCTTTATTTTTTGGAGGCTGAGAACTTTTTTGATATTAACAAGTGTGGATTTCGAGAGGGACGATCAACCACAGATCACTTGGTTCATTTAGAAACCCTTATTCGTGAGGCATTTGTGCACCGACAACATTGTGTTTCGGTATTTTTTGATATGCATAAAGCATATGATACCGCATGAAGGTATGGAATCCTTCGAGATCTGTACAACTGCGGTGTGCGTGGTCGATTGCTTCAGTGCATACAAAACTTCCCAACCAAGCGAACCTTTCAGGTTGGCTTGGGTGGCACACTGTCAGATGTTTTTAGCCAAGAAAATGGGGTCCCTCAAGGAGGAGTTTTAAGCTTTACCCTTTTTGCTGTTAAGATCAACAGTCTTGGAAGGGTGATACCGCCATCGGTGTCTTATTCTCTTTATGTAGACGACGTGCAGATCTCCTTCTCTTCATGTAACCTCTCAAGTTGTGAACGGCAACTACAACTCACTATCAACAGGATGAGCAAATGGGCAGATGAAAACGGTTTCAAGTTTTCTCCCGAAAAAACTGTTTGTGTTCCCTTTTCATTGCGCCGGGGTTTGTCTTTGGACCCCACTTTGCATCTCAATAACATAGACATATCTGTTCAACAAGAACTCAAATTTCTTGGTGTAATCCTTGACAAGAAGCTTTCTTTTGTGCCACATTTGAAAAAGTTGAAACGTAAATGCTTAAGTTCTTTAAATGTTCTCAAGGTGTTGTCCCACATTTCATGGGGATTGGACAGGCGATGCCTCTTACGATTATACAACTCCCTGGTTCGGTCTCGGCTTGACTACGGTGCAGTCGTGTATGATTCGGCACAATCCTCTACTTTGAAGATGCTAGATCCTGTTCACCACTTAAGGCTCAGACTTGCCTCCAATGCATTTCGCACATCACCTGTGTTAAGCCTATATGCCGATACACATCAGATGTCGCTTGAGAAACGCAGACAGTACCTGAGCCTCTGTTATGCTTATCGGGTCTATTCTAATTCACAACACCCAGTTTACAGTGCCATTCATAACTGTCATTTCTCTCGACTTTTTGAAAACAAGCCGAGCATTGTACGGCCACTCAACTTTCGCATTCAAAATTTCAGTGCTTCCCTTCACGTCCCACTTCGTGTTGCCGTGCTAAATTACAGGGACAGAGTTACTCCTTGGGACGAAGTCCCAATCGTTTGCGACTGGACACTTACAAAATGCAGTAAGCGGGCTACCTCCCCACGAGTTCTTCAGCAGGAGTTCCTTTCATTACAGGAGACATATAGAGGTTACACTGAATTCTATACCGATGGGTCGAAATCCTCGTCTTTTGTTGGCTGCGCAGTATATTCTGGTTCCTTCATGAAATCTCTTCACCTTAACTGTGTGGCAAGCATCTTTTCTGCAGAGCTTTACGGCATTTTACTATCTATTGATCACATACTAAAAAACAATATAAGGAAAGCTATTCTCTTTGTTGATTCTCAAAGTGCATTACTGGCTGTGTCCTCACTGCTCCCTACAAAGAATCTGCTTACCCTACATGTACGAGGTAAATTATTTGGAGCCCTCCGACTTGGACATGACATAAAGTTTTGTTGGGTGCCGAGTCATGTCGGGATTCCAGGGAATGAAAAGCCGATAGCTTGGCTGCATCTGCCAAGGATTTAGTAGCAACTTGTGGATTACCTCATCAAGATTTGAAGCCGTTTTTGAAAAAAATCACTCTTGATGTCATGGCAGTTGGAGTGGGACAGAGAGTATGACAATAAGCTTCATGTTATCAAACCTATTTTGGCCCTGTGGGAGAGCTCGTTTCACAGGGAACGGCGTGTAGAGGATCTGCTCTGCCGCCTAAGAATTGGCCACACACGCTTGACGCACTTGCACCTTCTTCGTGACGAAAATGTGAAGCTTTGTTCCCATTGTGGGAAAGGCCTTACAGTGTTACACATTTTATGGCATTGCCCTTTTCACCATCAGTTGGACCGGTCTAGCTTACCTGAACTTTTTAGGGGTTATCTTCCCTTTCATTCAATGTTTTTACTTAGTGACTGCCCTTTAGTGCCTTTTCACCGTGTTCTCGACTACCTAAAGAAAGCTGGCTATCTATACCAGTTGTAATTTTTTTTATACTGTTATCTTAAACCGTTTTGTTTAGTGCCAGCTAAACAACATTGAATTGGCGCAATATGACCTCCGTTGTCAATGCGCCACTAAAACCCTAATCATCATCATCACCGCATAACAACGCAGAGTGCAAAAGAGTTTTCAGCAAAGTGAAGAAGGCACACACTCAGTTCTGCTCCGCCATGTCAAAAAAGACTCTTGAGCAGTTGTTAGTTGTGAGATGCAGCCAGTCTGGAAAGTGCCATGAACAAGTGTTCGGCAAGGATTTCCTAAGAAAAGTAAAATCTGCAACTTCTTCAGTGTTGGCCCAACCTTCTACTTCTACAGAATAAGACATTTTGTGCAATGTATGATGTGTTTGTGCCCTAGTTGAGGCATTTTTCTTACTTAAACCAAGTTTTTGAAGAATAAAACAGTTTTCGTATTTCTTCACACAATTGTAGTGTTTTTTGGCATCCCCTGTAGTATTTTCAGCATTGTAGGGTTGGCAGGTCTGAGGATGCACCTTCCCATAAATGGCTCTTTTCACTTAAAAAATTGGTACTACTATATAAGTGTCACTTTTGTAAAAGTTGCACTCTGTCATAAATGTTGATACGAATGAATATAAGTCACACTGTTGTATAAGACACACCAATGAAAATTTGGGGCAGAATCTGCAACATACGTACACTGGAGAATATGGTAATTACAAACTATATATATATATATATAGGGTATATATTTTTTTTTAATTTCACAATTTGGATGGTGGGATCAGGCGACACTGAGAGAACGCTAACATAACTAAATGTAACTGACCTACTGTCTACCCTGAACCTGCATTCACTGTCCATTCATTTCTTTTTCCAAAAAGTGTTGCCTGGATAAGTACTTTGTATGCATCTGTTTTTAGTGACAAAGTTGTGAAAAGTGAGGGGACACTGGTTGGTGATATATCACAGATCCTCTAAAACATGGTTGCCTTACTGGATCCTTGGTTTCTTAATTGAATGTCTTTATCAAGGGAATGTGTGGTTTGCAAGAAAAATTTAATAAGTTTATGTAGTCACATGGAATAGATTCTAGTTACATCGGGTTTTATTTCTGTGGCATAAACACTTTTTTATAGCTCAACTTATTTCTATTATTCTGTCTTTTAACCCGTGCATTGTTAAATCTAGTTCTGACAATTTGTTTGGTCGCAGTGCCAATCATCGTCCGGAACTCTTGAAGAGCTGTTGGAGCTGGCACCAACGTCAGTGGCATCCACACTGCAAGACTGTATTCTTCAGTTGGCTCGACATTCCGAATGAGGAGCTTCCTGTGTTTGTTCCTATCAATCATGCCTGGTGTCAGCTACTAGTGTTTATACATTTTCTGCAGGGCTTGCAGAGCCCTGTTCTTGCATCAAGCTCTTTCTGTATTTTTTTTTCACCTCTCTGTGTTGTGACTCTGGTTACGATTCATTCATACTATGTTACCCATTTCTAAAGTAATCTCCGACTGTTCTTCTTTCTGCAGTGTTCTTGCTGAGTGCTTGTGTTTTTCTTTGTGTCCGTAAATTTAGTAGACTTCTAGTCCTCAAGTGCAACTCTGGCTGTAATGAAAGCCTGTTGCAATCTTCTATATATGCAAATTCATCGACATGAAAAGGAGCCAGAGAAAGGGCTGTTGTTTGTTGTGTACAAAACATACTTGAAAGATACAGACTGACGAAATTTGTCAAGATTGCAATCAAGTTCGAAGCACCACTAGTGCTTGCAGTTGAGCTGCCCCCCCCCCCCCCCCCCCTCCCTGGGCTGAATTTCTATTTAAGCTATCTGCTCTGTTTTTTGTCTGTGTTTGTGTGAGCTGTGCCTTATTAAGGTCAATCTAATTTCACTTTCACAATTCTAAATTTTGAGGGTTGTAAATGTGAGGGTAATGCTCATTTCATTTATGAGTTTACTCCTGCTGTGCTCATCATTACCAGGGCTGTCCCACCTGAGAATTGAGAATTTGTCTTGAGTCTTGAGAATTTACGAAGAAGCAGCACTGCTCTTTGTACTGCAGCTGTGTGTGCGTATGGGTATTAGGCATGATTCTATTTGTTCTAGAACAGACTAAAAGTTTATAAAAATAACGCAACAGCAGGAGTGGTTCTTCCTAGTCTTGTGCGAATAGTGGATTTTGAGTTCGAAGCGAATTCGAAGCGAATAGTGGTTTTGGCCGAATATGTTCGAATCGAATATCGAATAGTTTTTCTACACCTTTCACTACCATTGTGTAATGCTTAGATGAAAAGCCAGCTAAACTTGTGAAGGTTCTTCCACTTGTTCATTTAAAAGCTAAGTTTAATCTATCCATATTTATAAACTGTGGAAGGTCTGATGTCTTGGGATGGCAAGTAAACGACAAATTCGACATAAAATGAATCCTATAGAGTTGGCGAACTATATCCAATTGAGTGAATTTACAAATCTTGATATATAAAATAATCTTTCTTTAATCTCGAGTTAAGGGAGAATGAATCGCGCATGAATGCAGGCTGTAAGGGCATCTCTGCCCAACATGGTATATATACTCTTGTATAACAGTTTAATTTTGAAACTCTTACTACGAAGTAGATATACACACTCAGAAAGTTTCCATTTATTTTCAAATGCAGACGGCACGCGTGCACCATCCCGCTTTGAAAGTATGCTTTTCTTTCAAGCACGCAATGGCGATATTCATACTTTTCCAAGTGTTTATCGCGGCAGGTTACCCCGTTGAGTGTGCTTCTTACCGAGCACCGATGTAATGCAGAGAAGCAACACCCGCGGAGCTCGCTTTCGCGGGTATTGTTTCTCCGCAATGCTCCGGTGCTCGCTAAGAAGCGCACTCAACGGGGCTAACCCGACGCAATCAACACTTCGAAAAACGCGAATAGTGCAGTTCTTCTCGAAGCGAATATAGAATAGTGTATCATTCGAAACTACTATTCGAAATTCCGAATATTCGCACCAACCCTAGTTCTTCCGAAACAATATTTCAAGAAGAGAAGGACATTAGCCTCAGTAGCTTGCTCACCTTGCCCTTTTTATATTTCATATGGTGTTTCTCATTCTGCCCTTAAATACTTTTGAATTGTAATTTTGTCTCTGCTGACATGGCAGCCTATCGCATTTTTGTTTTCTTCTGGTAAAGAAAAGTTTTTTTTTTTTTTTAAGAGAATAGAGCAACTTGTGTTTGCGTGGAGTATGTGACCTGTTTGCATAGCTCTATTTTTCTACTTGCGGGGACATTCTTTTCACAAGCTTTAGTCTAGCTGCTGTTACATTGTGATGTTTGGTTGAGTGGACAGTTTGCACCATTTGTGTGTAGCTCTATCCTTGGGACCATTGTGTCGGCCATTTCGAAAGAATGCACAATAACCTGTGCATGCTGTTACAAAGTCATGAAGGTCTTATGATAGTATATTAAGCGAGGATTATAGTGTTTGCTTCAGTGCATTTAGATAATTTATTGTCCTCTTTCGCAGGGAATTTAGAGTTGCTATATTTATTAGAACGTATATATATATATATATATATATATATATATGCAGTATCCGGTTATCTAAAAACGAACAATATATACTTTGCAAAGATGACTATGTACTCTGACCATGTGGTACACCCAGTTTAGCTGTTGTACATGGAGAAGTGTTCAGATTGAAGCTTTATTATATCCCCTTGTTCACCGTTTTGTGGAATGCAGTAATATGTGTAAATGATATTTATACGAAATGTTTCCTGTGCATTCAATTAATGGAAGAGTCTGCGGCGAGGCAACTGCCACACTTCCGTTTCTTGGAAATTGTAGGCGCAGGTCGGTTTAAATTCAAGCAGCTTCGTCGTTTTCTGTGTACGAATCCAAATCTAATGAATGAATGGGTCTCTTTTTTGTGTAAAAGGCAGTTGCGCTCGTTTTCCCCATGATTTCTGCTTGAACTACTCTACCATTTGTGACTTTTTTTTTTTTTTATTTTAGACTTTATTAGAAACGAAACTATTTCCGGAAGATTAAAATGTCAGCGCAAAAATTAAAGCCTTTTATTATATTTTATTGTGGTTATATCTTTAGCAGCTTCGTTGTAGTTGGAGATTTGAAAATCAAATAGAAATCATGTTAATATAACAAGAAGTTGTCCCTTACCAAATTTGAGGTTTTGCGCGTACTACGCAAAGGGCAAGGACTTATTTCAGTGCCAGTGAGGAATGTAATCGCAAAGGGGAAAAACGGTGGGTTATACAGTTTTGACGAGCTAAGAGTACTTTAAACGCCACCATTAGAACGTGCATCTCGGTAAAATTCAAAATTGTCTTGCAGGAAATTTGTTGTTGGCAGCTTAGAATTTCTTAAACACCCAAACACTCCTTTGGGGCGGTTGACAAATTCCCGTAAACGTGCCCCTCTTAAAAAAAAGAAAAAAAAAAAGGAAAAAGAAAAAAATGCCAGAAGTAATGATTTAACTGCAACGTCGTGATCGGGGTCGGCCTAGCAGTTGAACGCGCTTGAACCTAGTGGTCCAAGCGCGTCCGCAGTGTCATTAGGCCTACACATTTCCTCGGCTCCGAGACGGGTCCACGTCGAGGAAAACTCTCTAGTAGGGAGTTTTCGTAGACCGCGTTTCCCCCTCCGCTAAGCCATCCTCGACGAAGAAGCCGCAACTGCGCCTGAGCGCCCATGGCCTTGACTGTAGAGTTCCGGGTATCGTAGCGGGTTGCGGAGAGCTTTGCGGGACGACAAAAACGATCTACGAAAACTCCTTTTTAAAACCTCACCGCCGCTACTTCGGCTGGTGCTTGACGTGTTTAACCGTTGCTTTTATCTGTAGCCCGCGTAGCTTCGGTACAGCCTTTTGTTTATTTGCTTGCGAGGACTCCAAGGCTCATTTAGTGAGCAACAACTCTGTGCGCACTCGCGCGCATCGTGGTGTCAGACAGCACTCTTCCTGCGAAGTTCGTCAGCACGTGGCAGTGGGGCATTTGCATATGGGCTCCAGCTATCGTCGTCTTCGATGTCTTCACTAAAAAGCGTGTCTGCTGAAAAAGAAAAGCAGCCCGTTTAGTGCCAAATCGCCATTTTACCGAAGAATTGCGCCATGCCTGCGCCGAGATGAGATGTAGCAATAAAAATAAAGATTGAAGTCTTATCAGAGCGTGTGGCGGTACCGCGGTATTTTCCGCGCCGCAACTGTTACGCAAACCGAAATTGCGAGGGCGCGTTATCATCATCATCATTGAAAGGAACAACGTTAGCAATATCTGAGACCAAAGCCGCACAGGCTAAGCGAAGAACCATCCCACTGAGCACCTTGTTTAAAAGAAAAAAAAGCCGAGCTTGTGGATGTTTTCAATATTGGCCCGCCCTGTTCCCTTGTGCTAGCTACCGAAGCTGGAGCGAAGTATACACGAACTCATCTCTGTTACGTCACGCCGCGGTGGTGGCGCGTCGGAGGCACTTCCGGTCCAGGGCTGTGGGCGGAAGTGCCCATGTGAGACGTGTATTCCTGCGTTGTTTTGAAAGGAACCAGATAAAAACCTGCCTTCTCGTCAAAATGCTGCGACGGGGGCTGTACCAAAAGTGTCGAGAAAGATTTGAAGGTCAGTTTTCATGCGCTCGGTTCGTCCGAGAACGCGGATATGTGCCGTGAAAAGGGAAAACCGGACGCCGTCGGACCACGATTGCTTGGGTGGGAAGCATTTTGGATTGAATTCGCGGATACTTCTGGTCACCAAATTTATTTGTTTTGTTCCAAAATGAGCGCCGGAAAATCGTCAAGTTGTACGGACCACCTGCGGACTACTTTAAGTGCGTCTTCAAATTCAAGCGGCCGCCTGATCGTTCCAACTGTCGTCTGCTCTCAAACGTTTCTGCTTGTCGTCTGCTCTTTTAGAGGACACCGGCCCGTAGGCTAAACGTGGGCCCGGTACTTGCGATAAGAGGTAAGTGCAGGCCTCAAAAGAGTTGAGTTTGAAAGTTGGTAAGCAGTAGATACAAGGAGATGTTGGTCATTGTTACCAGTGGCCATCACCGACTTGTTATGCCTGATGCACTTGGTTAGATTATGCTTGCGATTTTCAGTATCGACGTCGACATATCAGCTCCGGTTCACGCTTTTGCAGTCCGAGCGACGTCGGTACTGAAAATTGCGAGCGAAGTCTCATCATGTGAATCGGGCTTTAGCGTACATTCTGCGGCGTCCACGCGGAATGAATCGCCGCATGTCAGATGATTCACGCGAAGTTTTGCGGTGTAACGAGCCTCGGTAATTTCGCTGACGCCGCTCAAGTAGTCAGACATCGTTAGGAGGACGTAGAATCAACAATTTCAACGCCAAAAAGAGCGCGGGGACTCATGCCGACGCCGACAACATCGCAGTTCAATGGTTTGTTTATGGGCGACTGCGAGCTTCTTGCCCACACCCCCATCGCGCATGCGCGGCGCCGGTGGCGTCCGCTAGGGGCGCTTCGGGAGCTCCGGTTTGTTTGTAAACATGAGTTGGTGTATAGTTGAGTTGCACCGAACTCTGGATGTAGTGCTGGTAAAGCCTCACCGTCCTTTTCGAGGCACAAAGCACTGCGCGACTGCGGTGTCTGCTCCGCGGTTGTCGCTTCTCTGCAGCGTGTCGGTGCATGACAAGGAACGCACTCAGCGGGTTAACTTGCCGTGATCCGATCGTGACTTCGTCAGCACATCGAAAATGAATCGGAATTTTTGAAGCGAATATCAGACACCGCAATATTTGAAGCTGCTGCCCGAAAGACAACTCTAATCTGAACTAAAACATTCCACAGCAGTGAGGGTCGTTAGATGCTGCTGCAGATACCTTAAAAGAAGTGCAGGCTGATAAAACTAAATATCCTGTACCATCAGAACTCAGTGTGACATATTTAATTGTATTTTCTTATCTGACGACCACATACACTTTATTTTAAAAAAAA